TCATCAACATTATCATCATCATCATCATCATCATCATCATCATCATCATCAGCATCACCATCATCATCATCACCATCAGCATCATCATCATCATCATCATCATCAGGTTCATCACCATCATCACCATCACCATCATCATCATCATCATCATCAGCATCATCATCATAGTGATGATGATGATCATCATCAGCATCATCATCAGCAGCATACTCATCATCATCACCATGGCCTCAGCATCGTCATCATCACCACCACCACCATCATCATCATCATCATCATCGTCATCATCATCATCATCGTCATCGTCATGGGCATGATCATCCTCCTCCCCCTCATCCTCCTCCTCCTTCTCATCGTCATCATCGCCATCGTCGTCATCATTATCATCGTCAACATCATCACCACCACCATCACGATCATCATCATCAGCATCATCACAACCATCATCCTCATCATCATCAACATCATCATCAGCATCATCATCATCATCACAACCATCATCCTCATCATCATCAGCATCATCATCATCACCATCACCATCACCATCACCATCATCATCATCATCATCATCATCATCATCATCATCATCATCATCATCATCATCATCATCGTCATCATCATCCCCTTGGAAGGAGAAGAGGCGTGGCCCATTCTGCTCTGCGAGGCAACGCTCCCGAGAGACTGCGCGCAGGGCGGCAACCGGGAGCGGGGCACCGTCGCTGCCACGGCCCGTGCCGGCCAGGGAACGCGCGCGCGCTGAGCGCCCGGTCGGGCGACCAGCCAGGCACTCGCGACAAAAAAAGAGACCAAAGAGAGAGCCCTCGCAGAGGACAAAGAAGTGAGCATGCGCACCGGCCCTGGCCGGGCCATAGTTCGCCTGTGCATGAGGTCAGGCTCCTGGGGGTCCGGGGCAGCGAGAGACAAACCATGGGAAGGAAAAACTGTGAATTCAACAAACTGGCCAGGGCGCAAGATTTCCAGGAGCTGCCGAAGAAAAACAAGAGGGACAAATGTTTGTTGCGACAACGGCGGCCCCGAGCATGGAAGATCCAAGACATTGAGCTCACCTTTTCTTGACCCCAAGAAGGCTGACGACTACAATACAGTCGGGGCGTCGACCTAAGGAGCCCTGCATGAGGAACGAGGCCCCTTGTTCCCATAAGCGGAACTCCGATTTCCCATGGAGAACCTCGGGAAAACCCAAGGCAAGCTGCACGACAATCAAGGAACACCGAGCCCCTCCCCAACGAAAAGGGTTCCTTCTGCCCCGTCTGACTACCTACCAGACCACCCCAAACCCAACCCAAAGATTCGAACTTGAACCGACTTTCGGGTGGGGGGGGGGACGGGTTCCATGTGTTCTGTTTCGATGTCCCCCGCCCCCCCCCCCCAGTGGAAATGGAGGGCAAATCGTGGCGCCTTCGGGTCGGGTTGGGGGTGGCTTGGTGGGCGGTGACCGTCTGCACAGCCCCGCGCGACCGCGAGGAGCGCACAACGAGGAACGAGATGGGCGTCTCCAGCCGCGGTGGGTGCAAGCCACGAGCAGGCGCCGCGGCTCGCCCCTCGGGAGCGGACCCCGCAGGCCCGAGCCCCCTCCGGAGCCCCAGAAGCGTTGTTTTTGTGTGTGTCTGCAGCGTCTTGGAGGGGCCCTGGGACACACAGATAAGTACACACGAATAAGAAGATTCCCCATATTCTCGCGTATTTCCGGGGTTTTTGTCCTCCCCCCCCACTTCCCACATTTTCCCATATTTTCCTGGGGATCGTCGATTAATTGTGTCTGTGTGTTTTTTCCCCTCTTGAGTCTTGGCTGCAGCAGGCGACGCAGTGGAGACATCAAAAGAGAGGCCAAATCCAGGCGGAGTGGATCCAGACGGAGTCCGAGCCCTCCGTGTGGACGTGCTCCGTGTACGGACTTGGCCTCCTATTCAGGAGAGGCTCAGCCCAGACGGGGAGAGTCCATACGGAAACCGAACACTCAGTATGGACTTACTGCGTATGGACTTAGCCTCCGCCGAAGGCATCGGACGGGGCTAGGACGAGGACAAATCCGTTCCAAAGCGTTCTGGAACGCGCTCAGAGCGTTGCGGAACGCTCTGAGAAGGCCGCGGCGCCTGAGGCATCCTCCAGAGCCGCCGGATCTGAGAGCGTGTCTCGAGCTGTCCTCACCCGGATTGATCCTCGTCCTGGCTTCGCCTGAAAGCATCATGTGTACCGGTCCTGTGCCAGGGATGGGCCCGGCCAGAGCAAGCGCGCATGCCCAGCCTCGGGGAACGGCGGCTCGGGGCGGGGCGCGGGAGACCGCGCGCCTCGCCGCGGGCGGCGGCGGCTCGGGGCGGGGGCGCGTCGCGGAGGCGGAGGTCGGGGGGGACTGGTATGTCTGCCGCCCGCCTGTCCGCCGCCTCCTGGTTCCTCCTCCTCCTCCTCCTCCTCATCCTCCTCCTCCTCATCCTTCTGCCTCCTCCTCCTCCTCCTCCTCCTGCTCCTCCTGCTCCTCCTCCTCCTCCTGCCTCCTCCTGCTCCTCCTCCTTCCTCCTGCCTCCTCCTGCTGCTCCTCCTCCTCCTCCTCCTCCTCTTCCTCCTCCTCCACCTCCTAGGACCAGTATTACAATTCTTATTAGCAGTAAGGTTATGTTTGCTCTTCCTCTTATCCTTCTTCTGCTAACTATTACTATCATTATCACTTGGTGGGGGGGTCCCTGCGAGCCTGCGCGACCACGGCTGGGCGCGGCTCGGTGAAGTGGCCGGGATGGGCCCCGGGGGATAGGGTCTGGGAGCCCGTTCTGAGCGGCTCCTGGGCGGAGGTGGGGCGCGGGGTGGGGGGCCCTCCCGAGGAGAGGGCTTCTCGGGACCCGACGACACGATTCCTGCAATGCGGGCGAAGCTCTCCGATTTCGGCCTCGTGGGCCCTTACGGGGACCCCAGACCATAAGAAACGAATCCGGGGCGCAAGACTACCCCCAGGGAAGGGGTCGGGGAATCTGGGGCCGCGTCTTGCTGTCTCAACTAAATGTGTTTGTGGTGTGGTGTGTGTGTGTGTGTTTGTATGTGTGTTTGTGCTTGGGCTTGTTACTGTGTTTGTGTTTGTGCTTGTGCTTGTGTTTGTGCTTGTGTTTGTGTGTGTTTGTGTTTTGCACGTCCTTGTGCTTGTGCTTGTGCTTGTTACTGTGTTTGTGCTTGTGTTTGTGTTTGTGATTGTGCTTGCGTGTACTTGTGTGTTGCTTGTCCTTGTGCTTGTGCTTGCACTTGTGTTTGTGTGAATTCATGTGTTTGTGTGTGTTCTTGTTTGTGTGTGTGCTTGTGTTTGTGTGTGTTGTTGTGTTTGTGTTTGTGTTGTTGCTTGTGTTTATGCTTGTGGCTGTGTGTGTGGTTGTACTTTTGTTCGTGCTTGTGGTTGTATTTGTGTTTGTGGTTGTGGTTGTGTTTGTGTTCGTGTTCGTGTTCGTGTTTGTGTTTGTGTTTGTGTTTGTGCTTGTGCTTGTGGTTGTGGTTGTGGTTGTGCTTGTGCTTGTGGTTGTGATTGTGTTTGTAATTGTGTTTGTGTTTTTATTTGTGTTTGTGGATGTGTTTGTGTTTGTGTTTGTGCTTGTGCTTGTGCTTGTGCTTGCGCTTGTGTTTGTGTTTCTGCTGGTGCGTGTGTTTGTGCTTGTGTTTGCGCCTGTGCTTGTGCTAGTGCTTGTGTTCGTGTTATTGTGTGTGTGCTTGTTCGTGTGCTTGTGCCTGTGCTTGTGCGTGTGTTTCTGATTGTGATTGTGGTTGTGGTTGCGTTTGTGTTTGTGTTTGCGTGTGTGTGTTGTGTTTTTTGCGTGTGTTTGTGGATGCATGTGTGGTTGGTTGTGTGTGTGGTTGTGGTTGTGAATGTGATGTTGGTTGTCATTGTGGTTGTGAGTGTGGTCGTGGTTGTGTGTTGTGTGTATGATTGTGTTTTTGGTTGTGGTTGTGATTGTGTTTACGTGTGCGTTTGTGTTTGTGTGCGTGTTTGTGCTTGTGTGTTTGTGCTTGTGCTTGTGCTTGTGCTTGTATGTGTGTTCGTGTTCGTGTTGTGTTTGTGGCTGTGTTTGTGTTTGTGATGCTGGTTGTTTTTGTGTGTGTGTGTTCGTGGTTGTGTTTGTGTTTGTATGTGTGGTTGTGTTAGTGTTTGTGTTTGTGTTTGCTCTGGTGGGTGTAAGTGTGTTTGTGTTTGTGCTTGTGTTTGTGTTTGTTTTGTGCCTTTGTTCGTGTGTTTGTGGTTGTGATTGTGCTTGTGTCTGTGCTAATGTGCTTGTATTTGTATGTGTGGATGTGTTCATGTTTGTGGTTGCGTTTGTGCTTGTGCTTGTGCTTGTGGGTTGAGTTTGCGCATGTGTGTTTGTGTTTGTGTTTGTGTATGTGATCGTGCTTGTATGTGTGTTTGTGTTTGTGTTGTGTGGATGTATGGTGTGGTGGTGTTTGTGTTTATGCTTGAGTGTGGTTGTGTTTGTGCTTGTGTGTTTGTGGTTGTGTTTGTGATTGTGTTTGTGTCCGTGTTCGTGTTTGTGCCTGTGGTCGTCTGTGTTTGTGTTTGTGTTTGTTTTGATGTTTGTGTATAGCGTGTTGGTGTTTATGTTTTGATGTTTGTGGTTGTGTGTGTGTTTGTGTTGGTGTTTGTGCTTGTGTGTGTGGGTGGGTGGGTGGGTGTATGTGCGTGTGAGTGCGTGCGTGTGTGCGTGTATGCGTGGGTGTGTGGGTGCGTGTGTGAGTGCGTGCGTGTGTGTGTGTGTTTGTCTGTGTGTGCTTGTGTATGTGAACCTGTATAAATATGTGTGTATATAGATGTACAACATAAAGAAATACCCCAGGGATGTCAGAGGAGCCCCCCGCCTGCAGAAAGGCTCTGCTGAGAGCCCCACCACCATCTAAAAAAGCCCCCTGCCTTATCAGAAGGCCGCCCCGTGACGTAACACCCCTTCTGCGAACAACCAACGTTGCCTCGCCCTCCTTCCCCCTTCCTCTCATGCCCTCCACTCCCTCGCCCCCGCAGAGCGCCAGTTCGGCGTTGCGAAACTGTTGACGCGGGCCGGGCGGCAAGATTTCCCGACATGGCGGCCCGCGAAAATAGGATAGGAAGTCCGTCCACCTCCCCACTGAGGGGAAGAAACCGAGGCCGAAGGCCATGGATTTGGACGCCCGAAACAGATACGGGAAAGAATGGGCACAATGCCCAACAACAGATGTTGCCCAAAACCGACAGCGGCCGCTGTTGGGCGGGCGGCCTCCTGTCTCGAACGGACAGCAAACGCAGCCTCGCCAACGGCGAACCCTGCTCAGACTGGGCAGAAACTGATGTTGGCCTTTGCGCCCGTTGCATCCGTACCCATGCCGATGGTACCGAATGGAGATGATTGCGGGCCTCGAGCCTCGCTCCGGCCCTTGCCGAGTGAGCGACGGGCCCGACGACCCCCGACGGGCGGTGCCCCACCAGCGACGTCGACGCAGCTGGTGTTCCCCACCACGCGGCCCCCGGGCGGCACGGGGACCGTGACTTCGGAGGCAGGCGAGGCGGAGGAGGGGCAGCAGCAGCAGCCGCTCTGTACTAGCCCGCGGAAGCTCTGGCACAGGGGAAGCCTCAGCAGAGCCCTGAGCAGCCCATACCCAAGCCTGCTGCCTGCTGCCCGCTGTGCTGCGAGACGAGGGGAGGCGGCGCGACTCCCCCGGGAGGAAGCACGCAGCGCCCGAACACTGCAGGACGGCGCGCCAGTGGACAGGAAAATCACTGCTAATTGCCGCTGCAGATCGCATCCGGGCGGGCCACCAGGTGGCCGGAGAGGGAAGGGCTCGCAGAGTGACGGGCTGTCGTCGCCACTCTGCGTCCTCGCGGGGCGGCCGGAGATCGGAGCGGCGGAGGGAGGGGGCTGCCCCTCGGACCTCGGCGAACTCGCCGAGGCCGCCCCAGGGCTCCTGGATGCTCACTGCAGCGAGGGGTCCTCCAGACCCCAGCGAACTCGCCGAAGCCTACCGTGGACCCGTGGACCCACCACCACCCCTCCATCATGGGTCGATGCAGCGCTGCGCAAGCGACACGCAGACCAGCACCAGTCGGCCGGTTCCTGCGGGCACCGCCAGGCGTGCGAGGCTCTCCCCCTGAAGTCTGACCAAGCCCGGATCCCACCCGTGCTCCAGGCGTACAGTAGGGGCCCGACCACAAGAAACCTTCCACAAGAAACCCAACCCTGAGACCCCAGGACGTCCATTGATTTTTTGGTGCCGGGACGTCACGCTTTCCACAGCAAAACCATCGAGACCCAAGAAACCCAGGGCACCCTGGAGGCAAGCAGGTGTTTCTTGACATGGGCCTCCACCGTAGAAGGTGGCCAACTCGTCCAAGCCCCCTTTTTTCTCCGATGCAAGGGGAAGGTCCCCTGCCCTGGTCCTGGAGCGCCGGGCGCCGAGCTGTCAGACCCGCTGTTTGTTTTGCTGAGTCCGCAATACTGTGATACATATGCACGGAATGATCTGACCGTGGTGTGCGTGAGTCATGGACGGTAGGTTTTCGCCACTGGCTCGCGTTAGAGTTGATACTATTTGTCCAAGGGGAGAATGTCTAAAATCCGGCAGATTGCAGCATGCACTGCGTGCTCAAGTCGTATCATGTAATAGCACTGCCTTTCTTGCCAGACCTGCATTCATAACGCCGTATCGGCATGCAGCACCTCTTCACTATGCATTGCGATTGTTTCGCTCGTCCGTCGTAAAATAATCACGTCTCTGAACCAGCTGGCGCCCGAAGCACTCCCAGAGGGCGCCGCAGACAGCTTTCTAACACTACAAAGAAAACGAGCACGCACTTCCGAAGAAGAAAGCTGGGGCATGTTCCATCACGAGCAAGGGATGACCCATTATACGAGGGATTAGTCGAACAAAACGGTGTTTACCAATCGACCCCCTGCGCCTCCCCATTCACCCCGCCCCCTCAACCACACCTTGCTTCAGAGCTCCCAGAGAAGTCCAAGAGGACCCCGAAGCTGACCAACAAAAGGAAAAAGTTTTCAGAGATCCCCCACATGGCTCCACGATGTCTCGAAGAGGCTCCTGGAGATTTCCAAGTTGGACACTGATAGGGGTCCAAGAACACCCCGACAAAGCACCAAGAGACAGTGTGTCTGACTCCGACGGACATGCGCGGATTGGCTTCCTGGGTCCGCCCCTACGAGTGCACAGAGATGGCTCCAAGAGGGCTACAGGAGGCCCTCTCTCAGCTTCCCAAGCAGGGTTTCGCCAAGGTCTATGGGTCGAATTCCGATGCCGTCGCGCCTCCCCGCTGTAGCGGAGAGATCTCGGCGCCGCGCCCCGCCTCGGCGGGAAGTGTGGGGGGGCAAGCCTTCTCGGAAGGCGGCGGGCTTCTGGGAAGCCCTCTGGCCCTCTGAGAAGCCCCCCGTGGCTTCGGAGAAAGCTCAGGAAGCGCCTCAGAAGGCCGGGAGCCTCCTCCTCCTCCTCCTCCTCCTCCTCCTCCTCCTCCTCCTCCTCCTCCTCCTCCTCCTCCTCCCCCCCCGGCGCGCCGCCGAAGGCTGACCCATCAACACGCCACCGAGCCAGCGCAGGAGTTCCCGAGAGGCCCTGGATGGCGCGCGAGAGGCCTCGAGAGAAGCATCAGGATGCCCCCAGGAGGAGGCAAAGGCGGAGGAGGCGGAGGCGGAGGAGGAGGAGGCGGAGGAGGAGGCGGAGGAGGAGGAAAGGGCGGAAGAGGAGGAGGAGGAGGAGGAAAGGGCGGAGGAGGAGGAGGCGGAGGAGGAGGAGGAGGAGGCCTCCGAACGGCCAAACGCACCAAAAGCCAAACGTTGCTCGTCGGTGCCTTGCGCCTCTGCACCTCTCGCACCGAAACGATGGCCTCGAGACGGGCGCCGGCTCCTGGGCGGCCCCAGGCGGCCCGGGAGGCCCCCGGGTGGGTCCGACGCGTGCCTCCGAGGGCCCCACCTCGCGATCGTGGCGGCCACAGGACGGCTCCAAGACGGCCCAAGGCCGCCCCAAGACGGCCCCAAGGATCCCCCCAGACGGCCCCAAGACCTTCAGGAACGGCCCCAAGACACCCCCAGGGGACGCCAAGAGAGATGGACCCAAGTAGTTCCCAAGAGGGCCCCGAGAAAGCCCCAAGAGGACCCAGAGGCGTACCCGAGTGTTCGGTCACATACGCGTCGAGGCCGTACCCCCGAGCACTCACAGGTTTGAGCGACTTCTGCGCCAGCCTCTCGCTGGGGGCCCAGGGTGACTCCCGCTGTAGGCCGGATCTGCAACCGTGCCGTAAGCACTGGGTGGAATGTCTTCAGGTCCCTTCACGTTCTCTGTGCTGATTACTCCATATACTCTTCCAGGGGCCCAGTCCCCAACTCAAGGACTTCTTGGGGCGTGGCGCGTGGCTTCTAGGGCATGTCCCGTGGACAGCTCCAAGACGGACCAAGAGGCTCCTAGGAGGACCCCAAGACAGTCCGAGAGGCCCCGGTACATCCCACGAGCGCCCAGAGACTGCCAAAAACTGCATCTAAACGACCTAAGAGGGCTTCGAAACGGCCCAAGAGGGCTGCAAGATGAGGGCCCTAACAGGCCAAAATCGTTGATGATCAAAACGGTTTGAACGGTTTTCGCGTTCTTGCCCTTTCGGGCGTCTGGACGGCTCAAGACGGCCCAAGAGGAGGCCCCCAAGATCGCCCCAAGACAATCAAGAAGGCCCAAGGAAGAGCCCCAAGATGGTCCAAGAGGCCTCAAAAAGAGCCCCAGTAGGGTCCCAAGCGGGCCCCCAGAGGGGGAAGCGAATGGGCCTGGGAGCCGTTCCCCCCACGACTGCTCCCAACACCACCGACATGCCCCCAACAGCCCCCCGGAAGCGCACAAGAGGTCCCAAGAGGCCCCTAACATTATGTCGGGCATGTTCTCCGACAGGCGGATTTTGCAAGAAAAACAAGAAATAACCAAAACATGCCCCAAAAAAGTCCCAAATAGTCGAAACATCGTCCCCAGACTATGCTTTGACTAGCTTTGAAAATTCGTTCTGTAAAGGAACATACCCGACTTCAGCCTGACAACTTCTGACTTCCAGGAGGCTCACCGGATTCCTCCGAGAGGTACCCCAAAAGAGCCCCAGAGGTATCCAAGAGACCTCTGGCCCACAGCCCAGGCACAGTGGCGGGATAGGCTGCAGGCCTCTAGATTTAGGTCGGGCATGTCCTCCTGTAGGCGGATTTTGGGCGAAAAAATAAAAACATAGTCCAAAGAAAAATACGCCACAATAGTCAACAATACTCGAAAAATCGATCCAGACTATTCTTGGACTATTTTTGAATATTCCTCCTGTAGAGGGACACGCCCGACTTAACCCTAGGTACACGCGGAGGCGAATGTTGCGTAAGCCTGGAAAGCGTGAGGCTAGCAACCTACTGTTCGGGAGACGACAGCTGCCGCGACCTACGGCGAGCCTTGTCCAGATCAGAAGGGAAGAACAGCTTCTCAGTGACAAGCATTATCACGTCGGGAGTCAGCGCAACCAGGCAGACCGCGGCAACCGACATGTACACCTTGCTGTTCCCGATCATGTCGCCGAACATCCCCTTCATGTTGGGCTGCATCGTGGGGCCAAACCACACGTAGCTGAAGCAGAATATCACGATGAAGAACATGACGAAGGTAATCAGTGTTGGAAGCCAAGTATGAAGGCCCAGTGGGTTCTGAGCGACGAGCATCAGCTTCAGGCACACCACGAAGACGACGCACGAGAACGAGGTGACGGAGGAGACCCAGAAGTCGGAAGGCTCGGTCTTGACCACATTGTCGATGTCGGGGTCGAGGATCGTGTACGGAATGGTCCAGCAGACGACGCCATGATAGCACGCGAGGATCACCCATTTGGAAAACACCTTGACGTTGAACAACTTGCGGGCAGGTCCGACCTTGTACAAGGCTGGGTTTTTGTTCGCCTGTTCGTCGGAGATGTCTTTGTCAAGGGCGAGTATGAGCAGCATGTGCAAAGATGTGAAGATTGGGTTGAAGTTGATGGACAGCCACTCCGGAACTGCGATCAGGCCCTTGAATTTATACTGAAACATCCACACAATGTCCAGCATGATCAATGTAATGTTCTTGTACAAGAAAAAGCATAAGAACATCGCCACGCGTCTGTAGGCACGGCGACCGTGACACTGCAACAGTGGCATCAGGAACCGGAATTGCGAAATGGCGATGTCCGACGCCTGCATGGCTTGAGTGCCCTCCTTCCCGCGGATTGCAATGCCAACGTGCGCGCCGTAGATCATCGGGACATCGTTCGCGCCGTCGCCGACGGACAGCGTGATGGTCTTCGGATCCTGCTCGCGCACCAGCTGCACGAGCTGCAGCTTCTGCTGGGGGCTCAGGCGCGCACAGATGCACGAGCGGCTCACCATGCCCAAGTCGTAGATGACCTTGCGGCACTCTGGGCTCTTCAGCGCGTGAAGCAGGGTCTGGCCGTCGAGCACGATGCCGGCGTCCGCCTTGCCCTCCAGCTCCGAGTACGCCTTGAGCAGCCGGTCCTCGGCGTCCTTTGCGCTCGAGCCTTTCACGGCGTAGGCCAGGGTCGTGGAGCTAGTGAAGAGGCTGCACGACCGGGCGATGTCCACCGCGGTCTCGGTCTTGTCGCCAGTGAGGACCCACAGGCGGATGCCCATCTCCTTCACCAAGCTGATGGTCTCCTGCACCTGGTCCTGGAGCCGGTCATCCACCGCGGTGATGCCGACGAACTTCAGGCCCTTCTCGATCCTCGCCGCCACGGCGGCCATCCCAGACTCTTTGGTGGTGTTGATCACCTCCCTGGCGGTGATGTAGTCCGCGCTCCACTCCTCCCATTCCTCCTGGCTAACCTTCTTCATACCGATGATGAGCGTGCGGAGACCCTTCGCCGCATACGTGTTCAAGTGCGTCTGGCTGTCGGCGCTGAGGGGCTCCCGCAGCAGCCCCTCCATCACCGAGTCCGCTCCCTTTGTGATGCACCAGATGTCGCCTTTGTGCCTCACGATCACGGACATGCGCTTGCGGTCCGAGCTGAAGGGCAGCTCGAAGAGCTGCACGAAGACGCGCTCCTTACTGCCAGGCCCTCGGACGATCAGCTCGGAAGAGGAGCCCGCGTACCTACGCTTGCGCCCTTTGAACTCGATGCCAGCATTGCAAGCCGCGTCCACCAACGCCACCTCGTCCGGCGAGGCCCCAGAGTACAGCGCCGTGGGCTTGACAGAGGAATTGCCCGCACCGTTGGGCTCCGCAGACTGCTTGCAGTCTGCCTGCCGCTCCCGTACCACGCTGTGGCACACCGCAAGGCAAGTGAAGAAGTCCACCATGTTGTGGAACGTCGGGCTCGTGGCTGTGCTGGCATGACCTGCTTCACCCTCTTCGCCGTCGCCGAACACCTGCTTCACCTTCTGGAGACCCGGCGCGTCGTTGCCGCGGAACTCGCCCATGTCGGTGCCGCCGATGTCGCACTCTGCAAAGACCATCTCGTTGCGGGTCAGTGTCCCCGTCTTGTCGGAGAATATGAAGCTAATCTGCCCCATCTCCTCCATCAAGTCGGCGGTTCGCGGGAGCGCACCCTCGCCAGTGTCGGGGTCGACCATCTGCTTGTCGGACGCCAGGAGATAGCCGAGGAGCAGCTTCAGCATCTCGTAGACCACGTACAGGCTGAGCGGCACGATGTGGTAGAAGATCCGCCCGCCCGCTCGGTTGGCGCGGGGCTGCGAGGGGGCCTGCTGCACGGCGGCACTGCTGTGCTTGTCATGTAGCTTCTGGCTCGCCTCTCTTCTCTCCTGCCCTGCCTCCTCTCTACTTTCTACTCGGGGGCCCATGGGAAAACCGAGATCAGCCACCTGGGACGGGGTCCCTCAGCCAGCAGCTCCGGGTGGCCGCGGGATTCCGGTAGGAGCGCCACCAAACAACCAAGAGAGCCCGAGAGACCTCTAGGCCGGCCCCAAGGGGCCCCGACGGGGACCTCAAGAGCCCAACACAGCCGAAGGTGTCCCCAGGATGCCTGCTGGATGGCCCAGGACACTCTCTAGACGCCCCCGAGGGAGCAAAAATCGTTGAACAACCATTGTGTCTTCGAGGACTTTCGCCTGTCCCGCCCAAGACGGCCCCAAGATGGTCCCCAAAGGCATCAAGATGTCGCCCAAGTCGCATGGGATGACCCAACAAGGCCCCAGGATGCCCTCGCAATGGGCCCCATAGGCCCCCAAGATTACCCACTGTGGTCAGAAGGGCTCCAGAGGTCTCAAGATGCCCCCAAGGAGCCACAAGATGGCCCAAGAATACCCTTATACTGTCCCAATCCAGCTACGGACGAAAATGGCTCAGCCTGGGGGGGCTGGCGGAAGAGTGCCAACCCCTTCAGATAATGATGAACTTGAAGAACATGATTATGGGGTGTTCGCCGGTCGGCTCGGCGAGCGTCCCCTCACCTGCAACGAACACGATCGTGGCCGCTGAGCACAGAGCGAGAAGGAAGCCGAGCAACCCGACGATTACATTGTTCAGATTCACCTGCATATTGGAAAACTTGTTCACGCGGCCCTGCATCGCGTTCAGCCGGCATTTGGAGTCGTCGCCCACGTAAGCTGCAATGCCGAGCACCCAGGGAGTGTTCCTAAGGACGCAGCCACGGGGCAGGAAATTGATCTCCCCAAAAGGGCACACCGCCGTTGCGCCAGAAGCAGCGTCCTTGCTCCGCATGTGGATCCCGCCGCGGACGTCTTGAAGCGTTGGCGTGGGCGCCGCCAGCTTAATGTCCAGGCCGACCTGGCACATCGTGGAGAAGTACTTGTGGAACTCAGGCTCCATCTCCTTCCAGCTGCGGCCAGCCTCGTCCTCGGCGTTGTCCATGGACTTTGTGCGCGCCAGCTCCGTTTTCTGGCCCGACTTCCGCGCTGGGGCGCCTGCGTCGTTCTCCGCCTGCATCGCCAGCCAGTTCTGGCTCTTCTTGCCGCACTCGCGGCTCAGCGCCTCGAACACGCTGGGCGCGCTGCGCTCTTTCAGGCTGGTCTCGCCGTCCAGCATCACCGTGGATATGAAGCACTCGGAGCCCCCCGCGGGGTGCAGCAGGAGGGTGTCCGCCGGGAAAGCGTCGTCCTTGGCAGGATCGGTCAGCATCGAATCGGGAGGTGGGATCGGATCGAAGTGCGCGTCGCATCGGGCCGCGCCGGCACGGAGTTGGCATCGAATCGGATCGGGCCCGCCAGGAAGCGCAACAGCGCCATGCAAACATACGGCAGCGCCGGATCGTTGGAAAATCGGAAGCGGATAGGATCGAGCTGGCCAGGTTCGATATCGAACAAAAGTCGGTCGGATCGAACACACGAAGAAATAAATGCATGCATATAAACTTTCGGAGCTCCGCACCTATTTAATGGATCGACGCTGGACCCCCCTCACTGGCGCGCGGAGCGAGCCAGCAGCGGCGCCGGAGGTGCCACCAGGGGGGGAGTCCAGCGCCGATCCGAGAAACCCGCACGGACCTCCGAAAGCTTATGCATATGCGGCGTCTTCTTCTTCTTCTTCTTCGACCGGAGGGGGGGGGGGCCTGCCTTCTCGATGAACAGGACGTCCCCCACCAGCACGTCCTTGGGGAAATCAAGAGGTACCGAGACCGCTACTCCCCGGCCCTCACCCGGGGTGCGTTCTGACCGGAATCTCGAGGCGCATCCAGCGGGGCCGACCAGAGCAGCCCAGGAGGCCCAAAAAGGGGGAGCACGGGCGAAGCGGAGCGGTATGGGTATTTTTTTTTTGTGCTGGAAACAGCTGAAAACAATCGAGACGGGAGCATGTGCCGCCGTCATGCGTCTGTGCAAACGTACGGCAGCTGGACCCGCGTCTAGCGACGGGCCAGTCCGCGGTCGGCGGAACTCACCTGTGGCGTCCCACGGGTGCCGCACTTCCCACGGGTGCCGCGGTATGGGTACCTTTTTGTCCTCCCCAGAGTCCTTCCACGTGACCTCCTCGAAGCGGTCCTTGAGCCCGTTCTTGCCCTTCACGAGGCGCCGCACGGCCTGGGAGTTCTCGGCCCTGTCGTCGCGGCGCCTGCGCAGGTCCTCGGCGGGCCCCGAGGGCATGCCACGCGGCGGTCCAGCATTGGGGACAGAGTCCGAAATAGTCCTCCTCCTCCTCCTCCTCCTCCTCCTCCTCCCCTCCTCCTCCTCCTCCTCCTCCGCCTCCTCCTCCTCCTCCTCCTCCTCCGCCTCCTACCACCTCCTCCTACCACCTCCTCCTTTCCCTTCACTCCTCCACCCTCCTCCTGCCTGGGATACGAAGGGGGCGCGGCACACTCTTGCTCAGAGTTAAAACAACTTCCCGCTAAGACAGGGGACTTCACTCCAAGCGTTGTCTTACACGATTGTCTAGGTCCACATATACGACATTATATGGAGAGAAGAAACTCAAAGAGAACGCCCAGGGTACAGTCCAGATTCTCGATTTTCTCGAGCAAATCTGGAGTCCACGAACATGTGCGATGTTTCTTACGATGTCTGATCGGTGTAGGTGGTGGTGATGCAAGTGTTCGGGCCCTGTATCCTCGTACATGTCCTTGCACGCAGTCCACAGCAGCACCAGGACGAAGGGGCCCAGCTTGCTGTGCCATGTCTTCGGAGACCACGGGAAGCACACGATCACACAGATGAAGAGGAAGTAGATGTTCGCCACGCGTTTGAACTGGTGCATCAGACTGAGGGGAATCCAGGTCACAAAAGTGAAGCGAGTAGTTCGCAGCGTGTTCGGCTTGCCCGCCTTGACCTTGTTCAGCTCGCGGGGGAGGGTCTCGATGCCCTCTGGACTCACGGATATCTTGCGCTCGCCGCTCTGCAGGACGCCGCTGTCCAACGCGTTGAATTCCGGTTCCTTCTCCTGGTCCTTGAAAAGGTAGCCCCACTTCTCGCTCCTGGAAGTCTCTGTGTTGCCCGTAGTCACGCTCGCACTATCCGAGTCCGACACCTGCGTGCCCTTCGAGTTCCTCGAGCCCAAGGAGAACGATGACATTGTACGCTGCAGGGGGGGAGCTGAACTGGCAGACGGTACCTCCGCGAAGACGTCATCCATGATGGTCAGACGCTTCTGCGAGCAGCGACGGTGGTCGCAGGCTAGGGGTAGCGGCCAATGTTGAAGGGCGTTGGGCCAAACTGCTCGAGCCAGAGCAGATGGATGGGCGAGACGAGGGGAGGAAGGTGGCGATGGCGGTGGTGACGGTAATGATGGCGGCGATGATGATACTAAGCATGATGATGGTGGTGATGAAGATGATGACGACGACGAGGGCGAGGAGGAGAACGATGCTGATGCTGAACATGATGGGAGACGCCTTCTCGAGCCAGAGCCCTATAGAAACAGAACCAACATTTGCACCCTCAGACCTGTGCACTCGCGGGGGGGGGGGCAGCCAGTCAGAACTGGGCCTGGCCTCCAAGAAACTACAGAAAAGGGCGCAGTGCCGAAACCTCCTCCTCGTGCCGCTGTTCTTCCTCCTCCTCCTCCTCCTCCTGCTGCTTCGAAGGACACCTCGATCACGGTTTGAGAGTACATCATAAAATGCTGCCGAAAAGTGCCTGGCTCGTACGGAGCACGAAATGCCACATGCTTCCAAGGCGAAGCTTTTGTTGGAGCCCTGGGGGGCTCCTACGGGAGAGCGATCCCCGACGCTGGCGCGTGTTTTGCAATCAGCTGGCCTTCTCGCCTGCGGCGGGTCCACCATCCCACCCACCTCAACTCCTGTCCTGTCCTCCTCCTCCTCCGACGACGACGACGACGACGACGACGACGACGACGACGGCGACGACGACGACGAAAGCCCAGGCGCAACATGAGTCGGAGCCGTGCTTCTGGCTCCGAGGGCCGATTCCAGCAGAGCGGGCGCGAGGGCCCCCGCCACAGGCCGAGGAGGAGCGGCACACCTGCGGCTGCAGCAGCGCTGCGCCAGGGGGACCCTCCGGAGGCGGCGGCGAGGACGCCCCGCCCTTCGCCCTCGGAGATGCGAGCGGGGGCGTGGACGGCCACGGCCCCCGCTCGAGAAGAGCGGGGGGTCGGGCTCGCCGTGTTCGAGGCCTGTGGAGAGGACCTGATGGAAAGGGGGCACTCGCCATCGCTCGGGCGTCCATTCCCCGTGTTTCTGTCGGTGCCGTGCGTGGTTTGTTTCGCCGGATGATCAAGGATGCTCCTCGATGGCCCTCGCCGAAGGAAACATGCACACGTCCGAGCGATGCCAAGGGCCAAGGTACACACACACACACATAAATACACAGAAAACCTAGGACTCCCCGTCGTTTCCCATAGTTTTTGGATGTTCGTCGTCCCCCCACTTGCCATAGCTTCCCACACTCTGGGGGATCGACCATGAATTGTGCCTGCGTCTTGTCTTCCCTCCTGGCACGAGCATTTCCCAGGCAGTCTGGGGCGGTTTGCCCGGCGGCCGCCAGACCGTGGCCAGGGGCGAACCCGTCGCCCCCCGCACTGCCCCGCGAGACGCCGACGGACCCGCCATTCACGTCACTGGCAGTGCCAACGTGTGCAGTGCATGGCGTGCACGCAGGCCTCGGAATCCAGACGGCGAGGGCGGAGATCTGTGGCATGCCATCGGTCACGAGCTGGAGAGTCGGAGGTCGGCGCAGTGCTGCGTCAGGCTCGCACGTCATCACCCAGAGGCGAAGGATCTTGGTACAGGCCGCTCCTCGTCTCCTATTGTTATTGGCAACACCATTGCAGGGGCGAAGATGTGTAGAGTCCCAGAGAGTTTCAGGCGCACTTAGTCCGCATGAGGATCCTCCCTAGTACCCACCAGACCCTCGAGGCTGAGCAGGCCCTTTCCCTTGAGGAGCCCCAGAGAGCCCCTGTCCGGCACCCTGGACCCAGGCCTTCTGCTCCCAAGGTATGTGCTGCGTTTTCCACCCAGCATGTGTTATCAGAAAAAGATAACTCATGTCTGCAGTGTAGAGGCTCCACCTCCCAGGCCGCTCGTCGATCCTGGCTGGATTCGCCTTGCTTTCCACTGCGGCCAACCGGTGGCGTAATGTATGATCTTCCCCATGGGCGTCGGGTGCACATAATTGGGGGATGGGCTCACAACAGTCATCTACCTAAGTTTCACACAGGGTTGGGAATTTGGTTTTGTGGCAGGTGTGGCAGTTTCACAGCTCAGCAGCTTGCGAAGCTCGGAGGTGAATGTATCGGACCTGCTACTGGTAATCGTGGCGAGTACCTTACGAAACTCGCTGAAGGCAGGTGGCCCAAGGCCTACACAGCCTCTAAGAAGGCAAGGCGTGCTGCTGCCAAGTCGAGGCTGTCAATCAATCAGTCATAACCGACACAGTCGCAAAATCCGTAACTCCGTAACTCCTCCTCCTCCTCCTCCTCCTCCTCCTCCTCCTCCTCCTCCTCCTCCTCCCCCCTCTTCCTCGTCATCCTCTGCCTCCTGCGCCTCTCCTTCACAACTACACGTCATGAATGATACTCTCATCTCCCCCCCGAATCTGTCCAGAAGATCATGGCCCTCTCCGCGTAGTGCTCTTTACACACAAGGTGTCAGAGATTGTTCCCCACATATAAAGTGGGGTTATTGTTTTCTCTGGACACCCTGCGCAGTCCTCACAGCACCTCACCTCCCTTTCTCGCACACACTCACACATAAACATCATCGTCATCATCGTCATCACTCAACATCCTCATGACACTCACACATAACCATCGTTAGTATGCCAACATCGCCACCATCATCATCATCACCGCACGCACTTACACACTCACACACTCACACAGTCATATTGATGCAGTTTCAGGCTGGAGCCTCGTCTGCGAGTGACTTGCGAAGAAGTCTCAGGCGGGAGCCCCCTCCCTATGGGGCCCGCAGATCATATTACTAATCCGAGGGGTCATTCGATTCATGTATCTCGTCACTTTTAGGCTCCTGAAGCCTGAATGTGGGGGGAGTACCCGGCGTGAGCCTCGTCTGTGATTGAATCGCGAAGATGTCTCGGGCGGGAGCCCAGATCATTTTACTAATCCGAGGGGGTCCTTCGATTCCTGGAACTGTCGTCAGCTTTGGGCTCCTAAGGCCTGGCTATGGGGTAAGTAAATATCAGGCGGGAGCCTCGTCTGTGAGTAAATCGCGAGTAAATCATAGGCGGGAGCCCCCTCCCTATGGGCCCCGCACCTCATGCTCGAATCCGAGCGGGTTATCCTCAAACCTGTACCTGTCGTCACATGTAAGCCCATTAGGCTTGCGGAAGTCTCAAGCGGGCGCCTCGTCCGTAAGTGGATATCGAGAAAGTCTCAGGCGGGAGCTCTCTCTCTCTCTCTCTATTCATATGGGTCCCGTAGATCATGTAACCAATCAAAGCCCTTACGTGTTGCCTCTCTGGAACTCCTGACGCTTAACGAAGGAGAATGACGCAGAGGAGACAGTAAGGGCGTCTCACCAATCACGAGGACGACGATGAGGGCTATTCCCAGATTAGCCGAGAAGATGCTCATGCGGGGTCTTACCGTCGGAATAATTCTTTTGTTGCTTTTACAATGCACATGTTTCTGGTGTTTCAAAGCGGCGTTCTCGCTGGAGCGCGGGCCTCACTTTCGGATCGGCGCTTTGCTGCCGTCGTAGAGAACGGCGCTCTCGCCCCAGCGCGGGCAACTTATCTGAATCCGAGTCCCCTCGTTTTCTCTCCTCCGCCTTCCCCTGGTCCTTCTGATCCTCCCGCTCATTCCACTCCTGCTCATGCAGCTGTTTCTCGTCCTCGTCCTCCTCCTTCCTCATTCTCCTCAATCTCCTCCCGCCCATCCTCCTGCTCATCCACCACCGCCTTACCCAACGCAACGCAGCTCCCGTCTTTTTCCGATGGCGCATAGCACGATAATAGTCCTCTTTGGACGCCCGAGATAGGTACAATGCCCAACTGCACATGTTGTCCCAAACCAACAGCGGCCGCTGTTGGGCTGGCGGCCTTCTGTGCCAAATGGACACAGGCCGCGGCGGCGCGGATAGCGAGTCCTGTTCAAAATGAACCGGAACTGCTGTTGGGCATTGTACCCATTCTTTCCGTACCCACTTCGTTTGTGCAAATCCTCTTTGGGAGCTCCAGGTCACGCGCCGGGGGATTGAGAAAAACGGCGCAGGGGGAAGGGCTGGGCGGGAGGGCCAGGATGTCAGAGATGGCGCGAGCGCACCTATAGCTTGGCCTTACCTCGGGTGCGCGCAAGCATGGACTAGCGATCCATGGATCTGGCGCGCGGTCGCCAAAATCTACGGATCGGGGGAGGTGCTCTCCCCAAAACGCGGCTGGTGCCGCGCCGTTCGGCGGCGGAAGTCCGCGATTTCCTGTGGAGCCCGGGCCCGTCGCTAATCCACGCCCCCTTGATCCATGTTTGTGATCCCCTGGATTCCCGTCCCCCATTTCCCCTCCCTGTCCACCACGTCTCCCATTTCATGCCTCGCCTCCGCCTGCACTGCCTGCACTGCCTCCTGCCGCTCGCTATATTCATCATACTCTGTGTGTTCCTTCCTTCTCCTCCACCTCATCACCCTCTTGACGTTGCCGCGTCACCGCCACCCCTGACCGATGTATCGAAGTGCTGATATTACACAGAAGCTGTGATCCCCCTAATACTGGACGACGTGCAGCGACGACGACGGACGGACGATGGCGGGCCAGTGACCTCACAATAGCGCCTGAAGTTGTCACAATACTGCTGCACCTGCGGCTGGACGAGGCCGACGGCATAGCAGAGAGGGATAGAGGGAAGGGGGAAAGGGTGGCCCCCGAGGGCGATGGGCAACTCTGGAGCACGAGGGGTAACGTGTCGGGGAGGGGGGGGAAGGCAGAGAGGTGATGGACCAGGAGGGAATGAGCAGCGGAAGGTAAAAAAAATAAAAAGAGAGGGAGGGGAAACTTTCCTTCGAAAGAAAAAGCGTAAAGAATAACAGACAGAACGCGTTTCGTGGACGCTCGCTTGGAAAACATCCCACGACACGTCGGAACCCCGGGGGGGCCTCCGCGAGCCCGGAAAACCGAGGGTCCGAGAGTACCCCCAGACCCTCTCCCACTTCAGCATACAGGCGCGATGCACTCGCGCATCGGTGGCAGGGGGTGAATGCCCCATCGTGTGCCAGCCTGGC